CGGTTCAGCCCAAACACCAGGCAGCACCATCGTAAGTGGTGGTGCGGGGTTGAAAGGCGGGCCTGTGCGAACCCCAGCCTGTGCCTCCCTGTCACCAGGCTGCCACCCTGCGTCTGGGATGTGTGGACATTTCCATACGGACGGGTCCTGGCTGCCCATTTTCTCAGGCCAGCCACCCTCGTGGCTTCCTCTGCAGGACTGTACGCATCTGGCCACTGATAGAATTTCTGTTCTCAGAATTCCGTTCTCGGCAACGTGTTTACTGGCTGATAGAAAAACATAAATGTACTTTACAATTGCATTTCAGTTTTTGATGTGTTCTCTTAATAATCATCTTTGCCTCATTAAAGCATTAAGGTAGCAAAGGATCCCAGTTGAACACATCAGACACGTTCAGTGACCCTGCGTGCATGTCCGCTCCCTGAGCGGGGTGACTGGTCTGCAGGTAACTCAGCATCACCCCTGCCCTCCAGGTGGGTGGGTAAGAGATGCTCGGGAGCCGGCAGGGACAGCAGCACTTGCACGTCACATCGCAGATTTCAGGAAACAGTGCAGGGCAAGAGGGCCCGAGAAGGCTTCGGAGAGAGCTCGGGAGCCGGCTCGCAAGGATTCTGCTCTCCAGAGACACAGGTGGTGTTCCCACGGCACTCGGGGTATCCCAGGCACCAGGCAGGGGTCCCAAGCCAGTGCAGGAGAGGCCGGGGTCTGGGAGACTGCGGGCAGAGGGCAGTGGTCGGGACACAGACCACAGCTGGCCGTGCAGCTTCCGGTCCCCGCCCCACTCACCAGCCGGTCATCTGCTCGGTCTCACAGCAGCCAGCCCACGCCGGCCTGCTTGTGAACCTGTGATATGAAAGTACACGTCGGCCTTGTGTACTTTTGCCCGAGTTGCTTTTATTTGCTTTTTCCTGTGAAGTTCTAAGTAAGAATTTATCAAACCCAGGTGACACTGAAACACGTCATGTTAACATGTTCGTATGCTATGAACTGTGTGGCCTGGAGGGAAAGGTTGCTGTTTTCTCTGAAGCAGCTTGGCAGCCAGAGACTGGTGCTATTTAGGGAACAAATGGGCTGTAAAGGGTCCAGTGGAACATGTGTATTTCATGGTATTTGAAATGAAAAGGGACCAGCAGTTGGCATAATGGCTGTGTTGCTGGACTCCCATGTAGTCGACTGTGGTTCAAGTCCCGGACCCGGTGGCTTTAACTCATGCCGGGCACATGTGTGTGCGTGCCCAAGATCCCGAGAGGAGAATGGAGAAGGGATTGTGGCGTGGCCATCCCCCCTGGGGGGTGATTTCTCACTTTTTGTCACTCTGTCTCTCTCTGTCTTTCTGGCGAGCGCATGCTCCCTATAGCAAAAACATCTCCAAAAAAGATAAAAAGAATAAAGAAAGGGTCTGATAAAGCATTACAGAGTCCTTTAAGAAACTACTCCCTGGGCACCTTTTACAAATGTTTTGTATCATTTGCTCATTAGACTCAGATGGGGCTGGAGGCTGGCATCGGCAGAGCACACGGGCCCCTGGGCGGGTCACTGGAGCCATCTTTGAGCCTTGGTATCCTGTGACAAAACAGAGTTATCTCCTTCCTAGTGTTGTCGGAAGTTAAGGTGGGAGATTCTTCTGAGCCCCCTGACCCGACAGTGCTACTCCCTCCCCTCCCTTCCCCTTCCACCTGGTCTGTCTCCTCTGACTCCAGAGGCCCATACGTGGGGCACTGGAAATGTGTTGCTGGTTTGAAACATTTTCAGCCTTGGTGAGAGATGATTTCTGCTGGGTGTGTTTTGCTTTTGATAAATTGTCCTTCCTTGTAATCTACAAGTAGGAAGGAATATCAACAGCTTGACCTTCCTCTCCAACAACTTCAGGTGTTTTTCCACTTCCAGGAAAAAATTCAGGAAGGTAGGGACCAGTGGATGGTGGTAATGGTTATGTCACTAGACTCCCACGTGGCTGAGCGTCGTTTGAGTCCTGGACCTGGCAGCTTGAAACTCAAACTGGGCACATGTGCGTGCGTGCCCAAAATCCTGAGAGGAGAATGGAGGAGAAGGGATTGCGGCATGGCCATCCCCCTGGGAGGGGGGGTGAGTTTTCACTTTGTGTCTGTTGAGCCCATGCTCCCTATAGCAAAAATATCTCTAAAAAAAAAAACACCAAAAAATCCCCAAAAAAACAAAAACAAAAAAAGCCTTCAGGAAAATAATAGGAAAGATTCTGTTAGAGGTGAGGCAGAGGAGGAGGGTCAGGACTCCTGGGGTGGCTGGTGGAGGGGAGGAGACTGATGGAGTGCGGGGACTGGAGCCCCAGCTCTGAGCCTGACCGACTCTCTTGGCTGCAGGTGGGCAAACTGCGCGAGAGGCTGCAGGAGGCCAAGTTGGAGCGCGAGCAGGAGCAGCGGCGGCACACGGCCTACATCTCCGAGCTTAAAGCCAAGCTGCATGAGGAGAAGACCAAGGAGCTGCAGGCGCTGCGCGAGGTGCTCATCCGGCAGCACGAGCAGGAGGCTGCGCGCACCGCCAAGATCAAGGAGAGTGAACTGCAGCGGCTGCAGGCCACGCTCAACGTGCTGCGCGATGGCGCTGCGGACAAGGTCAAGACAGCGCTGCTGGCGGACGCCCGCGAGGAGGCGCGCCGGGCCTTCGATGGCGAGCGCCTTCGGCTGCAGCAGGAGATCCTGGAGCTCAAGTCGGCTCGCAAGCAGGCTGAGGAGGCACTCAGCAACTGCATGCAGGCCGACAAGACCAAGGCAGCCGACCTGCGCGCAGCCTACCAGGCACACCAGGATGAGGTGCACCGAATCAAGCGCGAGTGTGAGCGCGACATCCGCAGGCTGGTACGTGCTCCCCGCCCCGCCTCATGCACACAGTCTTACCTTCCTGCAGGATACACTAAACGCAGTGCTCCAGGCCTTGTAAGAGGCCCTGGGGTTCCAGCCACGCTCAGCCTTTATAGGTGCTAGTAGGGAGGTGCTGCGCTGCAGGCCTCATCTCACTTGGTGCGTGGTCTTGGCTGGTCATCAGACCACTCAGTGAAATGAGGTTAATGAAGGTACCGCGTTGTCAGAAGGGACTGTAATTGCTTATCAAAGTGCTGGACATCTATTTATTCATTTATTTAATGAGGGACAAGCAGACTTAGACTGGGTAAGGTGTAGTGGTCAGGACAGGTCAGCTATCGTGCTGTAACAACTAAGAGAAAACACTAATGGCAGAGATCCCATTGGTAAAGCTGTTGGAGAGCTGTGGAAGCCATGGGGTCTAGATGGACTACAATTCCAAAGGGAAGGGGAAAGAGCCCTTCTAGCAAGCTAACAATCCCAGACACTTTGTTTCCTGGGTGCATTTGCAGGTTCTGGGAATGGGCTGAGGGTTAGGCTCTCCTGAGCGAAGAGACTCCCCCAGGTGTCAGAGCAACGACTTTCAGGGTTGGCGTGAAAGAACAGAGCTCAGAGGAGTCCCCAGACTAGGCCAGCTAGCTCCAGACTATCCACCGAGCACTGCGGTGATGTGGGAGACCAGGGCGCTGGGGTCAAAAGACAAGTGACATCCTTACCAGTCTTAGCTAACAAAGTCACTAGAGAGGGGGCCTGCAACAGACACCGACATGCCCCTTGAGATGGTCATCAGCCTTTGACCCTGTGTGGTGCAGGGTGCCAAAGCCGAGTCAGCTAAGAGTCTCAGACTAGGTTAAATAACAGTGATATTTACTAGAGATCTGTCTTGATTATGAGGACAGAGTTAGATTGACGATAAGAGAATGGGAAGAAACACCACACAAACACTAACTAAAAGCAAAGCTAGTCTGGCTGTATTAATGTCCAAGACTTTAGGGCAAGAAATAATAATAAGACAAGTGGGGACAATTCTTAATAAGAAAGGGGTTGATTCAATAGGAGTGCATTTATTAACAGAACTCCAACATGTGTAGAAGGAAAAATGGTCAAAAGTAAGAGGAGAATTAGTCACATTCCCAGTCATAGTTAGAGATGATCACCGTCTATCAGCAAGCATATGGAAACATAAATGAGTGAGGCGTGCTGAGCTGGGGACGAGAACAGACGCTGAATTCGGGATTTGACAGATGGCCGGGCTGCCCCGCAAGATCATCAAGGAAGCCCAACGTTGCTGGTAGAACCGGTTCCTGGCATTAAACAGACCAGATGAGGGCAGCACCCATTATGTTCATGTGGTCACTGCTGGCCCCAGGATTCTCCCTTTGAGGGAGGGACTTTTAAACTTGAATTATTCCTTCCAGAAGAATACCCAATGGAAACCCCTAAAATATGTTCATGACCAAAATTTATCCTGCTAATGTGGATACGTTGGGAAGAATATGTTTAAATATTTTGAAAGGTAAGTGATCTTGGGCCAGCAGGTTGGTGTGGTGGGTGGTTAAGACACTAGATTCCAACATGGCCGACCGCAGACCTGGTGACTTGAAAGTCAAGCCAGGCATGTGTGTGTGTGTGTGTGTGTGTGTGTGTGTGTGTGCACGCATGTACCCAGAATTCTGAGAGAAAAATTGAGGGGAAGGGATTGCAGCGTGATTATCCCTTGTTGGGGGGAGATGATTTCTCAAGTTCGTTCATTCAAAAGAAGCTTGTGACCATTTTGTACAGCTTGCCTGGAAACTTATGTAAATATTATGTTTTACTGAAATATGTTTTGTTATTCTAAAAAAAAAAAGAATAAAGATTTAAACAGTACATTAACCAGTTTGAACTAAACTGACAGAATACCATATGCTGGCAATTGTAAAATACTATTGTTTTCAAGGAGACATGACACATTTTATCAAGAGACTACATTTTTGGCCGGCCTGTGTTCTGGTGGTTAAAATAGTTGGATCCCACATGGCCATTCAAGTTCAAGTCCTGGACCCAGCAGCTTCAGAAACATGCTGGGCGTGTGTATGTGTGTACCCTAAATCCCCAAAGGAGGGAGAAATGGAGAAGGAATTGTGACATGACCGTGCCCCACATGGGGTGCTTTCTTGCTTGCTTTCTGTCTCTCTCTGGAGCACATGCACCCTCTGGAAAATTGAAAAAAGAAAAAAAAAGAGAAAGACTCATTTCAAAATTTGTGGGCTGTCATTAGATCAGTCCTTAGAGCAAAGCAAAACATATTTTAAATAAAAATAGCATACGCTAGAAATCAAACCCAAGCTTCTATCGTAAAAAGAAAGGAAAAGAAGAGCAAATTAAACTCTAAGAAAGTAGAGTGAAAGAAATCATAAACACAGGAATTGCTGAAATAAGATCAATAAAGGAAATGACATATCCAGAAGTTAATGAAAATGGATAAACTGAGACCCAAGATGTGGCAGTGCAGGTGGTAGGGCACTACTGCGTGATTTGGGAGCCAAACGGGAGGCCCCAGGTTTGGCTCCCAGGTTGGCCTGAATGTACTGGGTGTGTCTGCAGGCATGTCTTTGATTCTGGCTGTCTATATGGCTGAAGGTGGGTGGGTCTGTGATGTGAGACTGTAAGCACACCACAGGAGAGGTGAGACGATCTCTCCTTGTTCTCATAAGATAAACTTTTAAAAATTGATAAACTGTCCCACAGATGGGACAAAGATACTGTAAGTCACCAATATAAAAAATATGAAAGGAGAAATACCACAGCTCCTACAATCATTAAAAGCAATGTAGACAGCATATATCAATAAACTTGAAATGAAACTTAGATTAAATTGACATATTCCTTAAGCATAGCATATCAAAACTGACACAATAAGAAATAAAAAGTTTAAGTAGTCCTATAGCTGTGAAGAAATGCAATCTGTAATTAATAATTCTCTCACAAAGGAAAGCTTAGACCAGTTGGCTTCAAGTAAAGAAAAAAAATTTAAGGAAAAAAATCCAACTAATTCTAGCTAAATTCATCCAGAAAACAGTGAAATAGGAACATATTTTAACTCGTTTATGAAGTCAGCATAACTCTGATTTCAAAACCAATGTATTATAAGAAAAGAATATTTGGGTGATCTCTTTTGAACGTAGATACAAGAATATAATAAGATATTGACAATTCAGAGCCAGCATTATGTAGAAAGGCTAGTAAGTCATGACCAAATTGGATTTATTTTAGGATTACAAAGATTAGTTTAATATCCTAAAATTGGTGAATGTAATTCAATATATTAATATAATAAAGGAGGAAAAATCCCATTTGATCATTATAGTAGATATATTGTAGAAAAAACATTTTATAAATTTAAACTTGTTGATAGATATTCTCAGCAAACCAAGAATAGAATAGAATTTTTCTAACCTGATAACTCTATCAAAAACCTATTGACAATGTACATAATGATTAAATGTTGAGGATCTTCCACCCTAGATCAGGCCAAAACAAGATGTCATCTATAAAATGGGGATAATCACTTTCTGCTCCAGAGTTATGAGAATTAATGAGCTTTAAGGTCCAGCAGCAGTTTACAGTTTCTGTGATAGGAGACATATAAACCATTAATATTTCAGAGAAATAAAGGGGGGGGTATCCCGTGTAATTACATCAGAGACTGCTTGAGCTTAGTTTAAAATGCAGTAAGGGGGCTGGCTGTACGGCACAGTGACAATGTGCTAACTCCAAGAGAAGCTGGACACACACAGCGACCATGGTTTAAATCCCAACCCAATCCGTCCGAGACTCGCTGCACACTCCTGTGAGTGTTCAAGACCCTATGGAGGGCAGTCATCTCTCTCTCACTCTTACTCTATCATTCTCACGTGCATATGCACAGACTCTATCATGAATAAAGAAAAAATATAAATAAAATGGATTTTATTCAGAATTCTATATCATAAAGTCTCTGTTTCCATTTCAGTGCCCCCCCCAAAAAAAAAATCCCAATTCAGATATCTCGGTGTGTGGATCGTTTTCACTTAAAATGACCCACATAGAAGGAATGGAAAGAATAAGTGTGCATTTCTGCTGTTCCCCCTATCCAATACATGCCACTCCTCAGGCAAATCCACCGCCCCTGGCAATGTGTCGGGGAGGTGGCCTGCCTGCTTCCTGTCTTTGTCAGCTGCACTGGATCAGAAATGTAAGAGGCCTCCATATTTCCATTGCCATGCTAGTGTGCCTGCTAAGAAAAGTCTGAAGAAAAGGCAGGGTGGTCAGTGTGGGCCAGCAGCACTCTGGTTCTTGGACTCATTTCTTAGAGCAGTAAGGATCAGTCTGGCTGCTCTGATGCACAGAGGCTGAGAGGCTGGGCATCTTATTCTCTCACAAGGTGTGAAGGCTGGCAGTCGGCACTCTCTGGGACTCATAGAATTGTGTGGGCCACAGGCATCTCCCAGTGCTCCTCAGAAGGGAATCTGGATGGATGGGGCCCTAATCCTCACGGCCCTCCATCCCCATGGAACATCAGTCTTTACTTCTTCATCCCAGGTTGGCAGTAGAAGAGCAGGTGAAGAAGAGCATTTTCTATTGGGAAATCCTATACTCTTCCACTTCCACCTCTTTGGCCAAGACTTACTCACCACTTGTGCACAGAGCTGTTGGGGGGGGTGGGGGCGGGTTGGAAGGGTGCTCTGTTTACTGAGTGCACTGCAGTTCCCTCACACCTCCCAGTAAGGTGTTGTATTACTGTACTGGGGCTACCAACACAAAAAGAATCATGACTTAAGACCATAGAAATTTATCCCTTTGCAGTTCTAGGGGCCAGAAGGTTGAAGTCTTGGTGTCAACAAAGCCATATTCCCTCAGAAGGCACTAGAGGAAGAGCTCTCCCGCCTCTTCCTATTGACGGCCAGCCGTCCTTGGCCTTCCTTGGGTTGCAGCTGTATCACTTCAATCTCTGTCTTCATGTGACCTCCCTGTGT